CGGGCTCTGCTCCCCAGGAACAAGGGATGGGACAAGAGGGAACGGCCTCAAGTTGTGCCAGGGGAGGTGGAGGTTGGATCTGGGGAACAATTCCTGCCTGGCAAGGGGTGTCAGGGCCTGGCCCAGGCTGCCCAGGGCAGGGGGGGAGTCCCCATCCCTGGAGGGGTTTCCAAGCCCTGCAGATGGTGCTGAGGGACGTGGGGCAGTGGGGCCTGGGCAGGGCTGGGGGAACGGGTGGGCTGGAGGATTCTAAAGGTCTTTCCAACCATCCATCTGTGGTTCTATGACTTAACAATATCTGTGTCCAAGTTTAAAACTAAATCCCATGAAGTATGAACATGAGCTCCCCATGCCCCAGGAACTGGTGAGACCTCAGGACAGCAAACATTTTTAGAACCACATTCTTTCCAGCCCTGTGTGTCTGGAGAAGCTCCAGCCTCACCTCCATGTTCTGCTGATGAAGGGGTGTCTTGCAGTGGTTTTTCACAGAGGTTTCATCGGCGTAGAAGAGCGAGCAGATCTGACAGAAGAAGCCAGCCTTGGGGAGCAGGTAATCCAGATCTGCAGGGACAGCACAAGGCATCAACAACACCCCAGCTTCACAACAGCCAGATGCCTTCAGCCACATCCTGTTAGTACTGGAAGTGAATGACTTTGTTTCTCAGCATTCAAAAATGTAGGCTTCTAATCCAGCTTTACTCCAAATAAACAGAGGAGGACAAAAATTCCTCTACAAATAGGGCAACTTTCTGGATCTGAAGTTCACTGCAAGGACCTCAAGAGTCTTTTGGCTTCAGAAGTATTTCATACATAACCCGTGTCACCTCTGGCCTGCAGTGTGTTGCACAAGGCTTTTCTGCCACACCAGCCACCAGGCTGGGAGCTGTGCTTTCCTGGCAGCTTCTTTTGCAGTTCAAGTGTTATCAGTGCAGAAAAATATTTTAGAATCATAGAATCTAGAATGTCTTGGGTTGGAAGGGACCTCTGAAGGTCATCTAGTCCAGCCCCCCTACAATAAGCAGGGACATCTCACACTGAAACAGGTTGCTCAGAGCCCCATCAAGCCTGACCTGGAATGTCTCCAGGAATGAGGCCTCTACCACCTCTCTGGGCAACCTGTCCCAGTGATCCACCACCCTCATATTAAAGAACCTTTTTTCCTAATGTCCAACCTAAATCTCCCCCTCTCTAGCTTGAAACCATCACCCCTTGTCCTCCTTTAGATGAGGAACTTGGAGAATACAAATATGCACAGACATCTTTACATCTATGTAAGCAGCTCCCTCATCCCTATACACTGCAAGCTGGTAATGAAACTCCTAACAAGATCAGAACATAAGGACATGTTACCCTGCACTGTGCTAACTGTAAATAAATCAGCCTGTATTTGTGAATTTTAGGAGAAAAAGAACCTTCCATTTTGCTGCTGCTATTAAGCCAACAGCAGAGATTTGCTGAACACCAATTTGCAGGAGCCAGGGTAAAAACACAGCTTAAGGGCCAGGACTTCGAGGTCACAAGTGGCCATGAGGCAAATGAGGCATTTCCAGAGGGGCAAGAAAGCTGCAGGAGTGTTTGGGGGGGCTTGTCTGGGCTTACCTCGTGGGGTACTCTGTGTCTTTGATGCCTCTGAAGGAGCCTTTTTCTTCTGCTTAGACACTGGGTCCTTATCTCCAGATCCCAGCTGATCCACTGGGGGTCAGAAATACACATTGAACACAAAGGAGTCACTCATTTCAAGGTATTTATACATATTTATATATATGTTTATTTTCTGTACCCAGCTGTAAAGGCTCTTTACTGCTTGAAACAACCACCTGTACAAGCCTTGCTGTTTGCTACACTGCCTGGTTTGCTCCTTCTATACAGTAATTTTCAGGCACTCCTGACATTAATCCCATGGGCAAGACTGGAGCTGGAGCAGCTCTGCTCTGGAGCCAGGCTGGGAGAGTTGGGCTGTTCAGCCTGGAGAAGAGAAGGCTCCAGGGAGACCTGAGAGCAGCTTCCAGTGCCTGAAGGGGCTCCAGGAAAGCTGGGGAGGGGCTTGGGACAAGGGCAGGGAGGGATGGGAGCAGGGGGAAGGGTTTCCAGCTGGCAGAGGGAGCTGGAGATGAGATGGGAGGGAGAAATTCTGGGCTGTGAGGGTGGGGAGCCCCTGGCCCAGGTTGCCCAGGGAAGCTGTGCCTGCTCCATCCCTGAAAGTGTTCCAGGAACTTGTCCTGGAACTTGATAAGACAGTAAATCAGTGATTTTTGGTTGCTTTGCATTTAGGAAAAACCCCAGGCAAAAGAGATGGGCTTAGGGAAGGAGCAGTTCTTCCTGAGACTGAGAAGTGGGGCAGGAAAACAGGGAAGGAGGATAAAGTAGGTGAAACTCATATTACTCAAGTCTCAAAATCTGAGTCCAGCCACAAAATCTGGATCTTTTAGGAGCTGTTTTTACAGCCACCTTGCTAACACAACCCAGTGCATTTGCAGTAAGTGCTTTTGTTCATCAAGTTCTTAACAAGATCGGAACAATATATAACATTTACATCTTTCTGGGGTGTGTACAAGACTCAACTAACCCCCTTCTCTCTGGCTTAAGCAGGATGCCTGCTGCTCCTGCAGCTCCTCCCCAGCTGCCCTCCCCACGCAGTGACCATGGAGTGGGAGGGAATTTTTTCCAGCCCAGCAGAACAAAAGGAGCTGTGTCACTGTCCTGCTGCAGCAGCACAGCCAGAAAGACAACTCCAGCCTGGGAGACTGTGTCACCCTTGGCCAGAAACCTCCTTCTCAGTTATATATAGCTCTCCCCACTTGGCTCTGTGCTAGACTTTCTTAACCTTTTGCTAATTCCACACCACAAATGTTCTCCTACGTTTTTTTCCCAAGCTGGGGCTGGAGGGAGAAGCTGCTCTATCTCTGTGTCTGTGTGTCTGTTCCCTTGCACTCACCCTAAGAAGTCTGGCCCTGTCACTTCAGGCTCCACACGAGCTGTGCCAGGGCCTTCACCAGGCCTTGCATTAAAGGTGAGAAAAGAAACTATTCTTCCTCATTTTCACCCTCTGAGCACCACAGGAGCACTTCACCATGCAGCTTAACTTTCCACCCACAGACAGATGCACTAACAGAACACCCTGTCTCAGGGCATTGTCCAGGCCCAGTCTGGTTTTCCCCTCTCTCTCTCATTGGGTTTGTCACAGATTTGGGGTTTCACAGGTCCCTCTCTTTGCTACAAGGTTCTGTGTCTGGCCCTTTTCTACGTCCCCTCTAGACACTACAAGAGGTTCCTTACCTTTTGACTTCGGGGTTGCAGTAGTTTCTTCTTTTGGACTCGTATCTCCCAGAACTTGCATTTCTTCTGATCCTGCAACAGCAGCAACCTCCTCCCCTTCTGGTCCTGCAATGGCAGCCTTTTCCTCTTCTTCTGGTCCTGCAACAGCGACAGAATCTTCATTGTCTTCTTTCACATTTGTCCCTGGTAAAGTGTTTTCTTCTTCCTCATCCTCCTCTCCAACTTCATCCACTGTCACAAAGTTTAGTTCCTCTTTTAGACGATTGAAATCGGCCAGAAAATCATCTTCATCTTCGTTAACCTCATCCAAAGTCACCAGGGGGTTATCTTCACTGTCCTCCTGGATTTCATCCACTGTCAACAGAGCACTGGGATCGTTAGACACCTGAGAGGAGGCACCACCTCCAGCCTTCTCAGCAGCCCCCTTGCCCTTCTTCTGCTTCAGCACCTCCTCAAGGCTCAAGTCCGTCGGCTCGTTCAGAGGCAGCTCTTCCACCTCCCCGATCTCATCCACAGTCACCAAGGGCTCAGCTTTCAAATCCTGCTCCTCAAAAGCAGACCCGGGGACACCTTTACGAGAACCAAGGTCCTCCTGCTCAGAGATCTCGTCCAACGTAACGAGCGACTGCGGGTCCTTCACAGCTTCTGACAGAAGTTCCTCCTCCTCCATCACTTCATCCACCACGACCAGGCCCTGCGGGTCGCTGAGCGCCTCCAAATTAGTCACTGCCATGAGCTGGGCAGCCACCTCCTCCTCCTCCCCGATCTCATCCAGGGTGACAAAAGAGAGCTCACCCTCAGGCAGATGTGCCTCCGAGCTCTTCCCTTTCCTCCTCTTGGAGCCAGGCTCGGACGAGGAGGTGGTTTTAGCACCAACTTTTCTCTTCACCCTCGGGGGATTTCGCCGCGTCTTCACAGGAGACTCGACCTCCTCCACCACCTCGTCCACGGTGACAAACTCATCCAGGTTAAATGGAAACAGCTCTTCTTCCTGGGAAGTGCAAAGATGTGAAGAGAACCCATTTTTAACATCGACCCAGTGACACAAACGCCTCCCTCCGCAGGCACCTCGTGAGAAACATGGACAGGCTGGAGCTGCCGCCAGGGGAAGAGAGAGAAATGCAACTTGGGGGCAGGAAGAAAAACCACTTCCAAGCCCTCAGCCTGGAGTGGAAGAGTTTTCACTATCAGCAGCTGTGCTGGGGGAGCAGAACTGACTCAGAAACACACAGCATTTTTCAATACCGCAGCTGGATGAACGGACAAAACCTGCGTCTGTTGAAAGAAAGGGGACAATGTCCTGAACACCCCTGGGTGTTTCTGCCCTCCCTTGCAGGAGAAGCAGAGAGAATCTGAGTATCACCAGATTATCCTTCCCAAATACTATCATCTCTTCTCTTATTCTGCTGCTGCTCCTGCTGCTGCAAACCAGGAGACCACACGAGATGTTCTGATCCAGCAAAGCCACCCTCTTGCATCCAGACACCCCCTTACCCTGCATTTGACCCTGCCAGCTGCCATCAGGGCTCACCCCATTTATTCTAGGATCACTGGGAAGAACTGGCAGGAATTTAATGCCACGTGCTCCTGAGAGCATCTGGGGGAGCCTGTATGGATAGATGTGGAATTTAATCACAGGCTGGATGATCCCAGATCTCCCTGAGGTTATCTGCACAGACAGCAGGCATGGCTTTGGAGCAGAGCACTGCCCTTGGCTCACTGTGCAACAGCTTCATGGTCAGGATGGTGGGAGAAGGTGGGGAAGCTGGCCACTTCATGTCCATTAAAACATTCATTTTAGCCAGTCAAATGCACTCAAGTATCCCTTCCACCCCAAATGATGCAATTCAGTTTCTTCAGTGAATGACCCTGAATTATTTTCTTTGCAAAATATTCCATCCCACCATCAAGCACCAGGCAGGACCAAAGGCAGGCAGTGAAAAAGCCCTTGTCAGAGCAGAACTTTAAGGCCAAGGCAAGATGAAGTGTCCTCTGCTACAGTCAGAGTGCAGTGAGAAGCACTAAAAGCCACCCTCCAGCAGGAAGAGCCACCTGACATTCCAAGGCTCCACACATGCCTTCTCTTCCCTTCCTTTTCTAAAAAGCTGACAAACACCAGGAATAAGGTGTGACTCCAGCCATGTCCTGAGCCAGGAACCTGAGGGATGCTGAAGGCAAAGAGGGCACAGTGCAGAACAGGAGGAAAAAGACCTTTCACTGACATCCAGCATCACTGTGCTCTTCCCTCCATGCCAAGGAGAACACAGGGTTGGGTTCTCACCAGCTGTGAAAGAGGGAAGAACAGAGCAGTGAGGAGCACCTCACATTAGAAAACCTCTTTTCAAAGGGAGCAGACACACCTGGAACACCAGCCAAGAAAGTGTTCCCTGTTTCCACCACTGCCATCAGCTTCACAACCACTCTGGGCTGGTCATGAGAGAACTTCATGTGCAGTATGATTAATGAAAGGCTTCAGGGCTCCAACCTTCTCTCAGAAATCCGTTTTCCACAGGGACCCACTACTTCCCTGGGAGAGCCTTGATCTGATCTATGGCTGCCCACACAAACTCATCAATAGTGTTTCTTTCACCTCCCTCCTGCTTTCCTTCCCCAAGCCCAGCTACCTAAGAGAGGCAGAGGGCATTTCTCTTCACCTTCTTGAAGAAATGAAGAAAGGCAGATGGAGCAGTGCAACCTACAGGTTCCCAAGCTCTTCTTCCAGCCAACACTGCACCAAAACTGCAGAGCAACCCCTGCTTTGCACAGCAACCCACTGGAAACAGAATCACAGAAACACACAATGTCTTGGGTTGGAAGGGTCCTCTGAAGGTCATCTAGTCCAACCTCCCTGCAATAAGCAGGGAGATCTCCCACTAGATCAGGTAGCTCAGAGCCCCATCAAGCCTGACCTGGAATGTCTCCAGGGATGGGGCCTCCACCACCTCTCTGGGCAACCTGTCCCAGTGATCCACCACACTCATATTAAAGAACTTTTTCCTAATGTCCAACCTAAATCTACCCTTTTCTAGCTTGAAACCATCACCCCTTGTCCTCTGTCTTTGCGTGGAAGAGGCACCATGGATGGGTATGTCCTGGCCACCTCCTGCTCTACCAAATCACTCAGCATCCTCATAGATAAACTGAGGAAGTGTGGTCTTGATGGTCAGGTAGTGAGGTGGATCATGAACTGGTTGAAAGGAAGAAGTCAGAGAGTTGTGGTCAATGGGACAGACTCTAGCTGGAGGTCTGTGACCAGTGGAGTCCCTCAGGGGTCAGTACTGGGACCAGTGTTGTTCAATCTCTTCATCAAGGACCTGGATGAGGGAACAGAGGGCACTGTCAGCAAGTTTGCTGATGACACCAAACTGGGAGGAGTGGCTGACACACCAGAAGGCTGTGCTGCCATTCAGAGAGACCTAGACAGGCTGGAGAGCTGGGCAGGGAGAGACTTGATGAAATTCAACAAGGGCAAGTGTAGAGTCTTGCACCTGGGGAAGAACAACCCCATGCACCAGTACAGGCTGGGGGCTGAGCTGCTGGAGAGCAGGGTAGGAGAAAGGGACCTGGGGGTGCTGGTGGGCAGGAGGATGAGCATGAGCAGCAATGTGCCCTTGTGGCCAAGAAGGCCAATGGCCTCCTGGGGTGCATCAGAAAGGGGGTGGTTAGTAGGTCAAGAAAGGTTCTCCTCCCCCTCTGTTCTGCCTTGGTGAGGCCACATCTGGAATATTGTGTCCAGTTCTGGGCC